ATTTTTTAAATTGGTTAAAAGTTTGATAACATTTGAACCTGTGTAGCAATTTTCAAGAAAATATCCGTAGTGATCGTGAAGGGTCAAACTTGAGTTGATTATTCTACCTAGAAATTTGAGGGAGGAAGATTGTTTGATTTTCGTGCCGTTAACTGTGATGAAGAAAATTTCGTTAGAGCCCTTGGCAAAACGAATATTTTTGATTTTTCAGGATTAAAAAATAAATTTAAATCAGCGCAATCTCCATAGAGGCAATTGGATTTGATATTAAGATTACGAACTGCTTCTACGTATTGAAATAGATGGGTTGTATTGTCCTGTATTGGATGTAAGCCGGCTGTATATAGATTAAAAAGCAGTGGACTGAGACAACTATCTTGAGGTAGACTTTCACAAACTTCAACTAAATTTGAGCCCAACATAAGAGTTCACAAAGAAAGGAAATTTAGAATCCACAATCTACATTTTGACGGTATTTTAAAATCAGTTAGAATATCACTTAGTTTCCCTAAATCGACACAGTCATACGCTTTATTGATGTCTAAACTAAAATTTAACTACCTGATTACCATTTGCTTTCTCACTTGCTATTTTGAGAAGAATCTCATTAAGACAAGTACTGGTGGAAATTGTGCAGAAATTTTGTGAGTGTTTCTTTGATCATTTGGTTTGTAATTTTTAAAAGTACAGACAGGAGGGGTAGAGGTCTGAAATTTGTAAAGTTTTCTAGATCTTTTCCAGCTTTAGGAATGGTACAATTTTAATTGTATGCCAACCTACAGGAAAAGGCTTAGTCATCCAGCGATCATTTATCGCAGATAGCGGAGCTGAAAGGCTTGAAGCGGAAAAAATCTTTACCACTTGGTATTTAATACCGTCATGACCCGTTGCTGTAGATTTCTTTTTTGATTTAAGGATATATGTTCTTCCAATTAAAATGCAGAGATGTCTTCTACTTGCAAGTTAAGCGAGAGAATATTAAGAGCATTTGTTGTTGGAAGCTGGGCTTTCAGCCATTCTAGGTAAGGTCGTTCCAAATGGGGTGTATCCTACGGCGTTATTCTAATTTAAGGCAAGAAGATTTAATTCTAACATTTTATAATAAAACTTTTTGCAAAATAATGATTTGACGCAGAAATTTGATACGATAAGGTTAAACCAAACCAAAACTCTAGACAGATAATAACAATTAAGAAAGTTATATTCAGATGGAGCCGAATCTCGCATTCTCACCATTGAAGTCTTTGATATGCCATTTTAATTGCCGTAAAAAAGTGAATGCAATAAAATTAATCCAAAGTCTTTTATTACACTAGACGGTACCGCATCGTCACGGTAATCCGAAATAATTTTGAATTCATACACTTGCCTTGTCGCCTTCTACTCTCCAAGTCCTTTTATATGATAACCATATCGCCGGTATTAATAAGAAAAAATTAATTCAACAGGAGGTTCACCATATTTATGTCAGGATTAACCCATTTTTAGACAGATAATATATCTCCATTTGAGGGATGCATAAAATAGTTTTAAACATTCAGTCTTGTTTATGTTATGATTAATAAAAAAAATTTAATCACTTGTGACTTTTTGTGAGCATAACGATTTTTTCCAATTGTATACATAAATAGTTTTGTTTTTCGTAAAGTAAATGTGGAAAATTGCAATATTCTATCTTCCATTAATTGGTGAGTAATGAGCAAAATCCACAAATTTGTGTTTAGGAAAATGTAGTTGCGTTACGCATCACTGCCGGTTTTTGTTGTACAATATTTTGGCCCAGTTTCAATATAAAACTTAGGCGCAAAGACTTCTAATGTTTCCAAATATGGGAAAAAAATATGGCAGACGTACGACTCGGAAATGGCAGTAAAATATTAATTGAAAACGAAGGAATATAAGAAAAAAATGAAAGAAAAGACTATAACCTAAACTGAAATTTAACCTTATTAAGGCTCAAAAAAAGAATTTCTCATCCTTTCCAACTTGGCGCGACGAATCACCTGCATTGATCCGCTAATTTTAAAAACAAGGGCGTTTATGAAGAGTATGAAGCGACGAAATAAATTCGGCGAGTCGTCTGTTGTTCATTTGCTGATCCACAGAAGAAGATGAAGAAGAAGAAATAGCTGTTATATATTAACAAACTGAGTTTCAGCACTCGCTGAACATATGTCCTTATAATGTAAAGTCACAAAGATGACTGTTTGTGAACGTTTCTTTTTTTGGAGGGAAAATTTGCGAGCAAGTATGTAAGTGATGGGCTTTGCAGTATGTTTCTCGGATGTTCATCTACTTGAAGTTGTAAACTTAATTATTATAAAACACAGCAAGTAAGAAAGGAATAATAATGGCGCAATCTTCAATAACATCATATTTTTCAACTCGTAAGAGAGCCGTAGCTGAGGATATTATTAACACAAAGACACGCGTATGTACTCATTTTACTATATGTATATTGGAAAATACCTTAATTGCATAAAACCGGAAAGTTTTGAAGATGTCGGCTTGCAGCATTCGCAACTGAGACAAAAAAATTAATTTTAGAAATTTTTCTTCCTTGAGGAAGAAGCAGAGGATAAAAGTAAGTAAATTTTTCTTTTTTTTTTTTTAAAAATTCTTATATATTTTCTTTTCAGATTTAGAAACGACTTTGACTTTGCAACGGGATGCCCGCCAGGTCGCCCCAATTGCTCCGAAAAAAAAAAAAGGCGCCGGCGCAAGAAACGAGGGGCGCCGATGCAATTGGACACAACAGATTTACGCCACAAAATCGAGCGGTTAAGGCGCCGCAGAAATAATTATGGCAACTCAAACACCTCAAACAAACCGCAAAGAAAAGAAAGAAACCAAAAAAATATCCAAATAAATATCCAAATAAATATGTAATGTGGCATTTTTACAAGGAACACCTATGAAATTCTCTGCTAAAATAAAATTGTTTTTTTTTCGTATGCAAAAACCAAATAAAACTAAAATTTGAAATTTTGTGCTGTGGCTTAGTTCGAACATCGAGACTTATTCCAAGATTCCTATATTCCGTTTTGTACCATTACGTAATACGTTTCCGTTTAGAAAATTTTCTGTCAAAACTTCTGCATTCATCTCCCCTTGTACGTCTCCTGAATAGTTTTATACAATTT